TCTTCATTTTCCCTTGCTCTCGAAGGGGTGAGACCAGTGGAGTATCTTAGATGGCTGCTCACAGGCTTTTAAGACCCCAGACGCTACTCACCAGGGTAGAATGTAGAACATTGTCTTTTTAAACTGTGTTATGCCAGTTGAGCTAGATGTTCTCTGAGACCATGGTCCCCATAGCCCTCTGCCCAGCAGTTCAGTCCTCAGGGAGTTTGGATGTATCTATGGAGCTTCCATGACCTTTCCTTGTACAAGCTGTGCTGGCTTCCCCAGTATTGTGTACTGTCTTACCCTTCACCAAAGTTACCACTTATCTGTTGTCTATTTAGTTCCCCCCACCCCCATCCCTTGTAACCAGCAAAGTTTGTTGGTTTTTGTGTGTAAATTTTTACATGAGTTTTTACAGTAGAGGTCTCATACAGTATTTGTCCTTTTGTGATTGGCTTATTTCAGTCAGCATAATGTCCTCCAGTTTCATCCATGTTATGAGATGCTTCACAGATTCATCATTGTTCTTTATCTTTGCACACTGCATTGTGTGTATGTACCATAGTTGGTTTATCCATTCATCTGTTGATGGGCATCTAGGTTGTTTCCATCTTTTTGCTTTTGTGAACAGCGTGTCAGTGAATATGGGTGTGCGTACGTCTATACATGTGATGCCTCTTATTTCTCTAGGATATATTCCTAGGAGTGGGATTGCATTTTGTAGTGCTTTTTTTTGTGGTGCTGACGTTTTCTTTGTTTCTCTTACTCTCCTGTGCTGAGTTTCTTTTGTTTGTGGATTTTTTTTTTTTTTCATTTCTTTTGTTTTTGTAGATTTTGTTTTTACTGAGGCTTTGTTTTTCTTCTTTATTTTGATGAGTAGGTTTGTTAAGTTTCTTTGTGGTTACATTGAAATTTACCCCTATCTTCGTAGATTTGAACCAGTCTGTTATTACTTGGTATCGCCTTGCCTTCCTCTCCATTAAAAGGTTCTGTACCTACACTGTTTATTCCCTTTTTTATTATTCTGATTTTGTTGCCATTTACAGATTAACCTCTCTGGTTCCCTGTTGTAACTCTTTTGGTTTTGCATAGTCCTTAAGAGTTCATTTCCTAGGTTGGTATCTGGCTAGTACAATCCTGTGTCCTATATTCAGCCTGTGGTCTGATGTTTGTTCTCAGGTAAAAGGACTCCCTTTAATGAGTCTTGTAAGTTTGATTTTTACATAGACCCTTAATTTCTGTTTATCTGGAAATGATTTAATTTCACCATCATATTTGAATGAGAGTTTTGAAGGATATATTATTATTGGCTGGCAATTTTTTTTTTCAAGGTTTTATATATGTCATCCCATTGCCTTCTTGCCTGCGTGGTTTCTGCCGAATAATCCGAGGTTAGTCTTATTGTTTCTCCTCTGTATGTGACTTTTTGTTTTTCTCGAGGTGCTCTCAGGATTCTTTGTCTTTGGTTTTAGCGAGTGAATTTATGATATGCCTTGGTGATGTTTTGGGGTCTGTCCTATATGGGGTTCATTGAGCTTCTTGGATGGTCAACTTTTCATCTTTCATGATATTGGGGAAGTTTTTTGGTCAGCAGTTCTTCAGTGATCCTCTCTGTGTTTTCTGTTTTCTCCCCCTGTTCTCGAACTCCAGTCACTCGCAGATTTTTGCTTTTGATTTTATCCCAGATAATTCTCAGGGTTTCTACATTTTTCTTCGTTCGTTTTTTTGATTTTTCCTCAGAGTTGTAGCCAAGTGTTTGTCTTCAATTTCACTGATCCTATCTTCCATCATTTCAAACCTGCTTCTCAGCCCTTCTGTGACATTGTCCATTTCTGAAATCTTGTTGTTTATCTTTTGGATTTCTAATTGTTGTTTTTGTATGATTTCTAGTTGTGAATTTATTTTTTTCCTGTATTATTTTCTTGAATTCTTCTTTTTTTTTTTTTTTGGTCGTATTTTCCATGAATTTTTCTGCCTTTTCCATGAATTTGTCTATTTGTTCCTCATTTTTGTCTGCTTTTTGCTTCAACTCTTGGATAATTCTGAATATTAGAGATTTGAATTCCCTGTCACTTAGGTCTAATGCCTTTTCTTCTACTGGAAGGTCATCTGGTGTCTTATTTTGGGCACCTACTGCAACCATCCTGTCGTGTTTTTGTGAATGTTTTTGATATTGTCTTCTGTCTTCACGGCTTTCAGTGGTTATTTTCCTTGTTCATTGATTGTAGATTTGTTTTGTTCTGCTTTTTTGTTTTATTTGGTTATGTCTGACCAGGCGGGCTGTGCGTTCTTTGTTGTTTGCTCATCTGTGGACATGATACTTTTCACCTCCTTCTCCAGTGGGCAGGGTCAGTCACTCAGGTATGGTATAGCAGGTCAGGTCCAGCAGAAGAGGAGTTGCTGGGATGGGTTGTTTGCGGCATGTACTAGCGCTGACGGTGCAGACCAGGAATCAGGGCAGGGCAGGTTCCAGTAGGCCATGCCTGTGCTGCTTGAGAGTGTGATGTTCAGCGCACGGTGCAGGTGGGCAGGAAGGAGGGGATAGGTTGTGATGCGTGGAGCTAAGATGGGTATGGGAAAGATGAGAGAGAGGAGAGAGGAACAGGAGCCAAAAACATACACGCAAACAAAAAGAGTGCTAAAGGAGCTTGCTATTGGAGTGGAGAGATGAGAGACTGAGAAGTGGGGAAAAACAAAAATGAGAAAAAAAGGAATAAATCAAGAGACTGGAAATGAAGAAAGACGAAAAGGGAATAAGAGAGAGACGAAAACAAAACAAAGAAAAAAAAGCCACAGTAAAAAATGCGCACAGGGATGTCCCTGTGCATCTGCGCAGAGTAAGGGAGTAGCTTCCAAGCTGCGCAGTACTTCCTGGCTGGAAGGGGCTCCCAAGCCGAGAAAAGAAAAAGAAAACAAACAAATCAAAACTGAACAAATCAGAGCAAACAGACGAACAAAAAAGACCCGGGGATCCCACCAGAGTGACAGCATGGGCTGGGAAGCAGTTTCACAGTTGAGCAGTGTTTCGCACCCTTTCAGGAAGAAGCAGAGATGGCACACGGAGCCAGTTATTTGAGAGAAAGGAGGGGTAGGTTGTGAGAGGTAAGGAAGAAATCTAAAGAAGTGGAAAAAAGCAACACCAGCAGCCAACAAAAGGCACTCAGGGAGCTGGCCAGTGCAGGCAGGTGGAATCCAAGCGACACTGGGATGAAGCTGGTGCTTCCTGGCCAAGAGACTGTGGCTGCAGGAAGCAGAGGTGGCTAAGTGGGGGTGAAGAAGGGTGGGGGGGGGGAGCCTGTATCGCTGGTTACCAGTTGTTCTGTCTCCTGCTGGAAGCTCCGTGAAGCTGCTTTCTCATACCCTCTGTTCACTGATCTCTGAAAGGAGTCCAAGATAGCGGATCTGTGCTGCAGTAGTTGATAGGGGTCCTCTGCATGTATCTGTCCTCGCTCTCTGTTCTCGGTCAGTGTCTTATTCCATTTGGTGCTTGGCTGAGTTCTTTATCTCTTCATTTGATGCTTAGGGTTTCAGGATTGACGTGTGACTCCGTTTGACTTAGTTTTTCTAATCTTTGCTGTGGAGGGACGGCGTGGTGCTTCTGACCATAGCACCGTGTTGCCCAGAATTTCCCAGTTCTTACAACTTTTCATGTCACATCTTTGTGTTCTTAATAATTGGAGTTGATATAAAATACTGAGATATATAAGTTGATTACTGAGTATAACAGGTCATCCCAATACGTGTGGTTTAAAACAACAAACATTTATTTGTTTACGATTCTGAGTTGGGCTGTTGAGCCTGGGCCCATCTTGAATGGTTCATCTCTCCTCCACGTGACATTGACTGGGCTCACCGATATACCTGGGACATCTCTCATTGTGGCCTCTCATCCTGTATGCTAACAGCCCAGGCTTATTCACATGGCTCCAGTAGGGATCCTAGCAACAAGAGAAGAAAGCCCTAGTGTGCAAGCACTTTTCAGGTTTCTATTTGTGTCATATTTGCTATATATCCCATTGACTAAAGCAAGTCACATGGCAAAACTCAGATTTAAGGGGTGGAAAAATAGATTCCATTTTTTAATGGAGGAGAGGCAACATCATTGCAATGGGACATGCATTCAGGGACAGAAGGAATTATAACAGCCTTTTGCAGATAATCTACCACAGTCACATAGGGTAAAGTGTAAAACATAACTGAAAAGCTGTATGAGTCTGTCTCGCTATGTTTTTTCTTCTTCTGATGTAATTCTAAACGTTGATGAGTTATACTGATTCTTAATCATTATGTTTCATTATAATCATATTTCTGATATTTTATAGTATGGAGAAGTGAAGAGGTAATATATTGGTCTTGTATTCCAACAGTAACTTCTTTTTATTCAAGATTTATCCCCCATGTATTTTCTTCTCAAGCATAAAAACAAAGTGCTCGTTATCATTGACTTTTAAAATACCACAGTGAATTCACACATATTTAATACTGTTCAAAGAATCCTGCAAATTTGAACCTGCAGATTTCTCAGGTTGAGGCCTAGTGTTTATCTACAGTATACATCATTAAATTTCTCTTAAGAGTAGTCTTTAAGACAGGACGGCCTTTTCCTACCTTCACTCGTGTGTGTGTGTGTGTGTGTGTGTGTATGGGTGTGTGTGTGTTGTCTACCTGCACAAACACATGTAAGAGAGGGCAAACTGACAGATGGACAGATTCAGATGGACACATAAACACAGTTTAACTGGAATTGATTGTCATGGAACTCTTCAAGTCTTAAAAAATCTTGTATTTTTCACTGGCCTAATTTTCCAAATTACTTTGTTGTCTTTGTGTAAGTCTCATTTTGAACTAACCCCACCAGGAAGTCCTATTATCTAGTAAAGGGAAGCTAACTGAAGGATAAGAAAAAAAAAAAAAAACCCCATTGCCATCAAGTCGATTCCAACTCATAGCGACTCTATAGGACAGACTAGAACTGCCCCGTAGAGGTTCCAAGGAGTACCTGGTGGATTCAAACTGCTGACCTTTTGGTTAGCAGCCATAGCACTTAACCACTATGCCAGCAGAGTTTCCAAACGGTAAGAGTAGAGATAAAAAATTAATCCATTTATACTGACTGAGAAAGACAACCCTCCTTCTTCCAAGATGTTTTTTTCCTATACTTTTACAAATAAAATTTTATTGATCAGAGCGAGTAAATATACTTCTAAAATATTCTTATTTTCTGGCATACAGTACAACCTTAATAAATGTTAATAAGAAGTGTAAAATCTAAAGAGCTTACAGGAAAATTTTACCTTAGTAAAAATAATTATGAAGTATCTCACAAAACATAAAATAGTGTATACTAAATAGAATCTTTAATAATAAGCAATGACTCTTCCTTACCATTTATTTACTTATTCAGCCAGCAAACAGTTGTTGAATGATGAACCACACTAAGACGAGTGTCCGTTTTATGGGTTTTTTTTTTTTTACATCTTATTGTTAGTAATATGTACTACATACAGTGCTGCGCACATAATTTGCTGATGTTATCATTCTCAGATTTTTCACTCACAGATGTTCAGTTTTATAATTCACTGTTCAAAGCACTGCAATATAGATTTAGTTTTCTAAACTAAATCATGAGTTTCAATTGCTTGAAAACATGGACCTAAATGCTGATTGTTTTGCCAAAGTTATTGGGCTGATTCAGGAATTAGTGAGATGTTACCGTGAAATATATGAAGAAACAAAGAAAAAGACCAAACAAACAATTCTCGCCACTTTTCTGACTAGAAACGCCATCCTCATTCCCAGGGGTAATCCAGATGATCCAGAGCCCTCTAAAAGTAGAGTTACTACTGCAGCTGACAAAATGCCAGTGTCATCCTACTCTTCATTGTCAGAATAAATTTTTATGATTTGTGTATTTTTCATATATGGAGCCCTGGTGGCACAGTGGTTAAGAGCCCGGCTGCTAATCAAAAGGTCAGCAGTTCGGATCCACCAGCTGCTCCTTGGAAACCCTTATGGGGCAGTTCTACTCTGTCCTATAGGGCCTTTATGAGTTGGAATTGACTCAGTGACGGTGGGTTTGGTTTTTTGTTTTTTATGAATCAAAATATATCTCTAAGTTAGTATGTAATGTTTTCAACCCCCATAGATAAATAAAGATCAAGTTTATAGAGATACTGATAGTAAAAGGCAATAATAATGAAAACTAAAATAAAAGAAGGGAGGTATTCAATTTATGTCAGAACCGACTTATGACGGAGTCATCAGAACGGTACCCCGTCATAAGTCGGGGACTACCTGTATATATATACTTTGTGCCAGATACTATGTGAAGTTCTGGGAATCAGAGTGCCCACAACCTAATAAAGAAGATGATGAATTTCCACTAGTTCTAAAAGTAGACAAGGTTTTGGATTGGACGTCAAGTTTCTGTTAACTCGTCAAAGGGATGCCCCACAACTTAGGTATAGGAGGTTGTGATAAATAATTCCATTTTACTGTGAGGACTAGAGGAGCTTTCTGACACTTTTTCTTGAAGTTTCTGATCTGAACACTAGATGTGATATGGTGGAAGGATATAATTCCCTTTCCTGAATTAACTAAATAAGATCCATTTCCCTTTTGTGCTTCAGCAGGTTTTCCATGCCTGTTGTTGTTGTGTGCCATCCAGTCGATTCCAACTCATAGTGACTCTGGGGGACAGAGTAGAACTGCCCCCATAGGGTTTCCAAAGGCTAAAATCTTCACAGAAGCAGACTGCCACATCATAGCTGGGGATAACAGAGTAGCATTTTTTTTAAAAAAAAAAAAAAGAGTAACCAAAAAACTCTAGCCAATCTTTTTGACATAACTGCTTTTTATCACTAAAATGAGCAAATATTGAAGGATTTTAACAACATAACAGAATCTCCTTTCTCTGTGGCAGCTCCCAACCAGGAGAAATGAGATGTAACATGATTGAATAGAGAAGGCAATGAGGGGACATTTGGGAAAAGAATGAGAAAAAGAACAGGTGTAGTGGAGTTGGATTGAATTTGGTCTTTGTGGTAGAAATAGCAAAATGATGTTAGCAATAATAACAACTCATATGTTAATAGCCCCTTCAAATTAACACAGTGTTTTCACATTCGTTACTCCTTTTGATTCTTACAGCAGACTTCATTTTACAGAGTAGAACATTGGTGCTCTGAGGTTAAGTGATTTGCCTCAGGACAGCTTTTATACAACAAAGCAGGACTTTAAGCCCAAGACCCTTGACCCCGGTGCTCTTTCTTACTGATTACATTTGTATGTACCTTAGAGTTTACAAACTATTTATATATATGTTACTTCGTCTGACTGTTCTAACAACCCAGAGAGGTAGGCAAGAAATATTATCTCAATTTTATAGATGAAAAATGTATGCCATCTTGTTTGATTTTAGCAAGTAGTTTCAGATACAAATGTCCATAAACAATGCTTCCCATTTAGGTCAGCTGCAGACTGTTTTTTAAACAAAATATATCAGGTTTTTGGGTTTCATATTATTTTTGTTGATATTTTTCACTTCCAGATTTATGTGATCAGTATGGCTGAACCCCGCCTGCCCCTGCAGCTGGATGATGCCATTCGGCCTGAAGTGGAAGGAGAAGAGGTGAAAATTATACCTTTGAAACATCGTGCTTAGTTTACAAAACATTGAAAACCTGATGTCCTGCTTTTGTATTAAGGGTACTTATGAATTGGTTTGAGTCTCCTTTTTATTTAAATTCACCTAACGTCAGCAGTTCTCAAAATTTGGTCTCAGGCTCTCTTTATACTCTTAAAAATGAACCCCAGAAGTTTTTGTTTATGTGGATATGTCTGTTGATATTCACAGAATTAGATCAAAAATGAGAAAATTTTTAAATACCAATTTAAAAATTTATAAATATATATTATAAAAATAACAATAACTAACGTATGTTTATGAGAAACAACTATTTTCCTAAACAAAAAATAATTTAGTATCAAGAGTAGCATTGTTTTACATTTCACATTTCTACAAATCTCTATCATGTCTAGCTTAATAGACAACTGGATTCTCATATCTGCGTCTGCACTTATTCTGTTGTGATATCACACATCATGTAGCCTCTGGAAAACTCTTTAGTACATTCATGAGAGAATAGGAGTGAAAAATTGTTACTATGAAATAGTTAAGACTTCGTGGACTCCCTCAAAGGGTCTCAGGGACCTTTCAGGGGTCTTCAGACTATACTTTGAGAACAGCTACTCTGTATCAGACGTTATCTGTTCCTTCAACCTGGCCCTGTTGTTGTGGTGTGCCATGGAGTCGATTTTGTCTCATAGTGACCCTATAGGACAGAGTAGAACTGTCCCGTGGGATTTCCAAGGCTGTAATCTTTATGGAAGCAAATTGCCACATCTTTCTGTCTGGTGGGTTCAAACTGCTGACCTTTCAGTTAGCAGCCAAGCTCTGAACTACTGCACTACGAGGGCTCCTTATCAGCCTGGTCCTAGCAGGTAGAATCCAGGAATCAACAAAGATGCAAATGGTTAATTCTCTTATGTTGCCATAATAAGGCAAGGCTTTTGGTAGTGGGGAGGGGGACAAAAAGGATTAACATCTGTTTATTCTCATTTCCTTCCGTTTCTCTCTCTTTTAACAATAACTCCTCTCTGACTCTGCTTCTTAATTGTTGCTACTATTATCTTGGATCCCTCATCCTGAGGCAGGAAGCCTGAGGTATAATGTGGAAGGATTAAAGTGATTATAAGTAATTTGAAAGGGACATAATATTAACACCCTCCCCTCCATTCTCACTAAAAGTAAACATAGCTTCTAAAAGTGGTTTTTGTAGTATTAAAAAATGAGTAAAATCTGTTTTTTAATCTTTTTTTTTTAGGAAGGAAGAGCTACTGTTAACCAGGATACAAGACTAGACAACAGAGTCATTGACCTTAGGGTATGCCTCATTTATTTATTAAGTGGCGTGATTATGTTGAAGTCAGGATGGACACGGGTGCCATACCTGACTCAAGCTTATAAAACTAATTGGTATTTACCTATATGTACGTGTGATTATATAAGGACAAAACAGTTTACCTTTCCAACTGGCCCGTTCCCTGAAAAGTACTGTAGGCAACAGAGGCAGTCAAGTAATAGTTCATAGGAGATTGACTTTGTTCATTTTAAAATGACAAAGTAACATGAAGCCAGTAAACTGGCTTGCTTCCAGGTGATACCTGTTTTGGACAAGTTATTCAGCAAGTGGGAAATTAACCATTAACATCACTGCAATATTGTGAAAGAAATTATATCCACACTTTAGGACAACCAGGTGGAGATGAGTAATTAATGCTTCAATCCTTTGATGCTTGATCTGAGCCCAGAATTAATAATAAAGAAGTAGTTGGCCTTCGTGGTTTATACAGGAGTCTCATGGGTCTTCTGTTTCCCCTTCTGGTTTGGCTGCAAGTGAAAGACTTTAGTGGTTTCATCATTGTAGTAAAACCATTGTCATCTGTCTTTCTTAATGTTTTGACCGCATCTTCCTCCTTTATTTAAATATTCCACCTAACGCTCAAATTCCTTGTCACCTTAAGAGTTCTCTGCGATCCTGTGTGTCTGTCCGTATCATGTACACTCATATGTTACTGCTGATTAGTTGCATTAAAAAGTTGGAGGAGTTGTAATGTGAACCTATTTGTTCTGTAAATGTTCATCTAATGTACAAGAAAAAAGAAAAAGCAATACCTTTTAATATTAAAAAAAAGAAGTTGCAGGAGAATTTGGTAATACCAGACCCACATGGCAAAAGTCAGGTAGCACTCTAGACTGAGCGTTATATTCTGTGCTTTGCCCTGCACCACTCAGGAAGTATCATTCATTTATTTCGTTTTGTCTGACCCTTCTAAGCATTCACGTTTTTAACACCTACTTTGACTTTACATTGTGCATATAACTTTAAATCTTTAAGCACCTTAGTTAATGTCTAAACTGCTATCTAATTTAACCAAAGACCAGCCCTTTTATAGATTCTCAGCTCGGCAAAGTCAAGAGTTAGAATAAAGGGCGAAATTGCCATTCTCCTATACTGATTTCTAATGTAGCCCAGCTTCTCTCTTATACAATGAGTTATTTTCTCTATGAATTTTCCAGGCAGGTGGACTATTTAGAAATTCCTCCATTTTTCAGCCTCCAAAAATGTTAAAGCAATTTTCCTTCCTGGAAAAGTGTGAATTTAAATGTTTTTGGCAGCTTTTGTGTACACACCACTTACCCAGCTCCGATTCTGGATCAGTATGGTAAATTAGCCCTGGCCTCATCTTGATAGGATAGCATATTATTATGAGGGTTTTCTGTTAACCTGTTCAGAAGAATTCCATTTGCATCAGAATTATTCTCTTTATTTCTCCTCACTCTTGGGTACAGCTGAAGTTAGACAAATAAAAGTAGTATGTATTTAGTCTTCCCTCTCGGAAGACTTCATTTGGGTGAAGTTTGCTCAGCTTGACTAGTGTAATTGATGCCACTAAGTTGTCCATAAGAAAAAAGATGAATTGATAAATGTTATATATACACACAACATAGCATTTACCAATTCACCCTTTTTATGTATAAGGAGCCCTGGTAGCCCAGTGGTTCAGCACTTGGCTGCTAACTGAAAGGTTGGCAGTTTGAACCCACCAGCCACTCCATAGGAGAAGGATGTGGCAGTCTGCTTCCATAAAGATTACATTCTTGGAAATCCTGTGAGGCAGTTCTCCTCTTTCCTGTAGGGTTGCTATGAGTCAGAATTGACTCGACAGCAATGGGTATGTTACATATAATTTCACAACACCACCACCAACCCCCGCAAAAAAAAATATCTAATAAATCAGATAGGAGCTACAGATACATATACTTCTTAGACATAACCAGTCACCTCAGAGAATTAGTTTTCTTGATTTGAAGACCTAGGGTCATAGTCTCGTTGGTCACTTCAGTCAGTTGGCATAACACAGTTGATAAAGTTCATGTTCTACATCCAAGTTTGGTGAGTAGTGTCCAGAATCTTAAAGGCTTGCAAGCAGCCATCTGAAATAGAACTATTGTTCTCTGTCAGTCTGGAGAAAAAGAGAATGAAGAAAATCCAAGAATCAGAGAAGGAACTGGAATACAGAACTAATTGTCTCCATGAACCATGGCCTCCTCTTCCCTGAGACCAGAAGAACTAGAGGGTGCCCAGTTACCACTGCCATACATGATCAGGGTCATGTAGGTGAATCCTGATAGAAAGAGGGGGGAAAATGTGGACCAGAACTTCAAATTCTCAAAGAATCTAGACTAACTAGACCCATTGAGACTGGAGGAATCCCCGAGACTGTTGCCCCTGAGATAATCTTTAAACCTCAAACAGAAAGTGTCTACTGAAAGTACCTTTAGCCAAATAGCAGGTTAGATCAAAAAGTAAATAATTTCACCCTTGAGAACTGTGCTCTTTTAAAAATATCCATATGAGACCAGTTGGGCAGCAGTTACTCTAAAGCATAGATATGAAGTTTGAGGGGCAGTGAGACAAAATTAATGGGACTAGAACGACCAGAACAGAAATAATGAGAAACCTGTTGCCGTCGAGTCGTCTCCGACTCATAGCGACCCTATAATAGGCCAGAGTAGAAGTCCCTTATAGAGTTTCCAAGGAATGGCTGGTCGGTTTCGAACTGCCAGCCTTTTGGTTAGCAGCCGTAGCTTGCCATAGGTCTTAGCCACTGCATCACCAGGGCTCCAAAATCATGAGAATGTTCACATAAACTAAAGAATGTAACCAGTGTCACTGAACATTATGTGTAGAAATTGTTGAATGGGAACCTGTTTTGCTGTGTATAGTTTCACCAAAAATATAGTAAAATATTTTTTTTTAAAAAAAGTGTCTTCTATTCCCTTTTCTACTATCTCTCTTGATCCTTAATCAAGCTGTACCACAGTCTCTGTATAAACTGACTTGATAAACCATAAACTGACAGGAAGTCTTCTGCAGCCACTAAAAGCAAAAGCTGTAGTGGGTACAAGTTAAGGTGATAACTGTAGATAGTTATTTTTAAAAGCCACAAGCCTAACAACATAGAAGTAATTTATTGTGAGAATTGTAAAGCTCTGAGCACTATTAAAGGTTCCATTATAAAAACTGGTTGTGTTTGAAATTTTGTCTTCTGTTGGAATTCTCCCTCTCAGCATCCTTAATTCTTGCCCATGTTTCCCTCCCCAAAGATGTAGTGTTTGTTTCCTAGTATGAGGAGGACTTCAAGGGAAGGAATCCTATAAATATAGAATACTGCTTTTCCCTTTACTTCAGACCTTTTAATTAATTCAGAGTATCAACATTTTAATTTTAATAATCTTTTTGGGGGGAAGATTTTTTACAGAATGAAAAATGCTATTTTTAATATAAAGAATGTCAAACTTCTTGAAAGCTAAGTTTTTTGTTTTTTGTTTTTTTTTTAGTATCGGATAATTAGTTTCCTGCTCTTATATTTAGTTTGTCTTCTATCTCATATCCACTGTGTTCACCACTGTATATCTAGCACCAGTGCCAGACACACAGGCACATTAATAAGCATTTGTTTAATGAGTAGTAGGTACTGTTTTTACATGTGTTATTAAGGTATTTGACCCAAAACAATTTTTACATTTAAACATCATGGAGACTACCGATTCATCATTAGTATGGTTTATGACTTAAACATTGAAGAAAGCCTTTTTTTTCTTTCACTTATACATCTTAAGAGTAAGTGTAGTAATGGGGAATTAAGTGTGTAATTTGTCTTCCTAGCCAATTCAAAATAGAACGTTCAGATATACCTTTCATTTGAAGTGAACATTATGCATTAACTTTATGTATTACAACATTTTACAAAGATTTTCTCAAAACAGGTTTAAATACATACTTTCTTAGACATATTTCTTTTATTATACACTCTGTAATCTTACTGAGAACTCATATGACTCTTATATTTTACCTTCATTGTCAAATTCATAGACACATGGAGATTTGATTGTAGCAATCAATATGTAATAGGGAAACAGTTTAAAAATGAATCTGTAAAAAGAATTATTTTGATTGTCTTTAGATATGTGCTGCCTAGAATGACTTGATTTGCCCAGAACAGGATAATTTTTCTTTACTGTTTCTTAGATTTTAACTGATCTGTGTTGTCTTCTCATGTAAAGATAATGCTTTTTGAATGAGGAATAAATGTTGAAAGATGACCCAGTTATAGATGCAAAAAATTTCTCAGGTTGTGATGCAGTCTGTTCAGCACTATTCTTCTGCTAGATTAACTGACCAACCTGGATGTGAGGACAGTGTTTTCCTCTGGACAAAGTTAAAGGGCCTACAGAATGTTCAAACCTCCTAATGCTGTTCTTTATCTTCTTCTGAACAGCAGAAATGGCTGGTCTAGATTTATTAGCACAATGTGGTTCTCTTTGCAGTACTTTTGTTAGTCTGATAAGTAATCAAAATAGTTTAGGATTTGTTTTGAAATATTTTTCTTCCTTTTTATTCAGTTTTAAAGAGCATATTATATTTAGTTATTTCATTTTGTTTATCTCTTTTCCCTATCCTCAATCTTTACATGATGATTGCCAGTTCTCAAGTTAAACCATTGAACAATTTTAAAAGAATCCGCTAGAGAATATTCTCAAGCATGTAAATACTAGATAGAAATTAGGACATATCAGAATTGTCGTCTGGATAACTAGGAGTTGATGTCTAATTTAATCAAGTACCGGTAGGTGCTTTAATCAAGTAGGTACCTGTCAGCCTAGCAGTTAGCATGCCTTGAAGAACTTAATTGGGTGGGGGAGGGCGGGGAGTAGTGCCTTTTCTTATAAACACACAGGCCCATTTTCTCCATAAATGTTACATATTAACATGCCTCTTTGTACAATCAGAAAGTAAAGAATTTGGGTATAGTATGGTTTGTAAAAAACGTCATTTGTTAAATTTCTATTAATACTAAATAAGCTGTGACAACCACTTCAGAAGTTTAGTTTCTGTTAGATAAGAGGATGAAGTCAGTTTAGTTGGGCTAGCTAAGAGAGGCAAGTGGCAGAAAAATTTGTTTAATGACCCTCCTACAGAATATATTTCACTGAAGAGAAATGTGTCTCTGCGTGTCTCAGTAATGCTGAAACTGGCCTTTTGTTTCAAAGAGGCTGCCACATTTTTGAAAGAAAATTATTGCAGTTTGTTTTGATTGGATGAACTAAATATTTCACTAAACCACATAATGTAAAAAAGCCATAAGTCTTTTTGTCTAGTTTGAAATGTAGATATCTTGAAAATGAATAGTCTAACAAGTTATAAAGATCTCTTAAATGGTCTTCATTGTTTTGTGAGAAATTACCTATTTGTACCTTTGAGTTTGAATTCTAAAATAATGTTACCCACATATGGCCCGGTCTACCTGATTTTTTAGCTCTGGGCTATAAAAACTCAAGGTTATTTAAATGTTATTTTTGTAGACTAACCCTTTCCCCCCCAATTAACATTGTTTTCAGAGGGTACTACTGTCTAAATAATCTGCATGCCCTCAGTCAGGGTTGAGCCTTTTGACAAGGGGCAAGTAATTGAATTTCCTGTAATAAGATGAGAAGTGAGACTGTGGTTCTTTACCTAACTCATAAGTCCCAGCTAAATTAGTTTGAAGTCAGGTATTTTACTAAACAACTATCTAGTCATAGGATAACTATTCTTTTTTTTTTTTTTCTTGTGTAATAAGCGAGAACCTAAAGATAAGCCAATTCCTTTGACCAGAGAAATGGACAGAAGTTAGTCTAGAGCAGAGGTAATTACTTCTAGAGCTTTCTGTCCATTACCAGAACTAGTCGGGGCTGAAAGGAAAATAGGGGAATCAGAGAAACTGAGAAAGAAGAGAGAGTAAAAAGAAAAGGTGACTATGGTGGAAGGTTAGAGTACTGTTATTAATTGCTTTATGTGCCATTTTGGGAAATGGGTGTCATAGAATGCCTACCTTTTATTGTTTTTTTCTTCTTAATTTAATTGTAACAAACACATGACTACTATAATCTACTATTGATAATGGTTAAAATAAAAGTACATGGTGGCTTTATTCATTCATTGTCAAATGCTAAAATTTTATTTTCCTTAGGACAGCATGATCATACTACACAAACAGTGATATAATGTATCACTTCATGAGTTTGCCTCTTAAAAAAAAATAAATAAGAGAAAATGGTACAACCATTTGTAGTGGTACTGCAGAAAACTAAAAATATAACTACCATATGACTCAGCAATTCTACTCCTAGGTATATACCTAAAAGACTTGAAAGCAAAGATTCAAAAAGAGACTTATACACCAGTGTTCATTGCAGCACTGTTCACAATAGCCAAAAGGTAGAAACAACTTAAATGCCTATCAGCAGATGAATGGATAAACAAAATGTGGTAAATACATACAGTGGAATACTGCTCAGCCAGTGGGAGAAATAAAATCTTGATGCAAGCTACAGTATGGATGGAGCCTGAAGACATTTTGCTGAGCAAATGAAGCCAGTCAGAAAAGGACAAATATTGTCTAACCTCACTTATATAAAAAGGCAAGACAAAGCAAATGTATAGAGACCAAAGTTTATTAGTGGTTACCAGGGGTGGGAGAGAGGGGGAAAAGGGGGAAGATGGTTCATGGTGATAGAAGAATTATGTTGATTAAGGTTAGGGTTGCAGAGTTGATTATTGTAATTGCTGTCAGTAAGTTGTACACCAGTAAAAAGTTGAATTGGCAAAAGTTGCGTGATAGGTATATTTACAACATTGACAAAAAAAAAAAAAAAAAAAAAAAACACTGCAGAAATTGATGGAATACCAATCAAGATGTTTCAATAAAAGGATGCAATGTTGGAAGTGCTCACTCATCTATGTCAAGAAGTTCGGAAGAGAGTTACCTGGCCAATCTACTGCAAAAGATTCATATTTGTCCCCATTTCAAAGAAAGGTGACCCAAGAGGATGTGGAAATTATTGAACAACAAAAATTTACACAAGTAAAATTTTGCTGAAGAGCATTCAAAAGCAGTTGCAGAAGTACATCAACAGGAAACTGCCAGAAGTTCAAACTGGATTCAGAAGGGGATGCAGAATGAGTGATATCATCATTAATATGAGATTGGATCTTGGCTGAAAGCAGAGAATACCAGACAGATGTTTACCTGTGTTTTGCGGTGTATGCAAAGGCATTCGACTGTGTGGATCATAACAAATTATG